GCTTTGGGGCGCCGTATTACCATGTGCATAGGGCGGACTTGCATAGGCTCTTGTTCGACCTCGCGAGGCCGTACATGACGCTCCGCCTGAAGTCGACCGTCGTGGCCGTGGACCCGGACGCGCCGTCCGTGACGCTCGCGAGCGGGGAGGTCGTCCGCGGGGACCTCATCGTCGGCGCGGACGGCGTGAAGAGCATGATTCAGCGGGTGGTGCTCGGGCATACGAACCCCGCGGAGCCGACGGGCGACGCGGTGTACCGCGCGATCGTACCGGCGCATTTGTTGTTGGAGGACCCCGAGTTGAGGCCGTTCGTCGAGACGCCGGAGATGACGGGCTGGATGGGCCCCGGGCGCCATATCATGGCGTATTGCATCGTGAGTCCTTTGCTTTTGCCTTTGCTGCTGTCGGGGTCGAGTTTCCACCTGGCGTGCGCTTCGAGTTGAGTTTTCGCTGGGGTGCTGACGAGCGACGAGCAGAGAGCGAAGAAGGAGTACAATATCGTGCTCGCGCACCCGGACGACGGCTCCGTCGAGTCGTGGACCGCGGAGGGCAGCGCGGACAAGATGCGCGCCGACTTTGCGGACTTTGAGCCCCGGTGAGTCCTCTCCCCTCTCTCCCTCTCCTTCCCTCTCCCTCTCCCTCCCTCTCCCTCCCTCTCCCCCAGCGAGCGAGCGAGCGAAATGCGAAGGGGTCGATTGGGTGTGGACGAGCGCTGACGCGTAACGGGACAGGGTGCGGAAGCTGCTGGGCTTCGTGCAGTCGACGCTCAAGTGGCGCCTCATGGACCGCCAGCCGCTCCCGACGTGGATCCACCCCGCGCACAAGGTCGTCCTCCTCGGCGACGCGTGCCATCCGATGCTCGTGCGTACCTTTGCCTTTTTTCCCTTTTTCCTTGCCCTCCCTTGCCCCTTCCTCCCGCTCATCCGTCTCACCCATCTCACCCACACACCCGTTAACACTAACCCCCCTCCCCATTCCCCCTCTCCCCTGCATAACACACACTCACACTCACCCCCCTCACACCCCCAGCCCTACCGCGCGCAAGGCGCCGCGATGGCGATCGAAGACGCCGCCGTGCTCGGCGGCCTGCTCGCGCGCCTGCGCGCGCCCGCGCAGCTCCCCGCGCTCCTGCGCGCGTACGAGGCGCTGCGCCGCCCGCGCACCGCCGAGACGCAGGCGCAGAGCCGCCTCAACCAGCGCATTTTCCATTTGGAGGACGGGGAGGCGCAGCGCGAGCGGGATGCGGCGATGAGGCGCGCGATGGAGGTCGAGCTGCGGCGCTTGGCGGCGGGGGGCGCTGGGGGAGAAAGGGGTGCGGGCGCTGGGGGAGAAAGGGAAGGGGGAGAAAGGGAAGGGGGAGAAGGGGGGGATGGGGCAGAGGGAGGGCAGGGAGAGGAGACGCTGGAGGGGAGCCCGAACCAGTGGGCGGACCGGCGGAAGAACGCGGTCCAGTTCGCGTACGACGCGGATAAGGAGGTCGAGCGGTGGTGGCGCGAGGTCGGGGAGAGGACGGTCGGCGCGTTGGCTGCGGAGGAGGGCGCGGGCGAGGTAGGGGCGGACGCAGAGGGGGCGGAGGGGGCGGAGGGGGAGAGGGTGCGCTCGAGGTTGTGAGCGGGGGCAGCGCGTCTGCCGTGCGCGCGGTGCGCTCAGCTCACGTTTCCTGCGTTTGTTCTTTGGATTTGTTCGCTCGCTCGCGTTCTCGTTCCCGCTTCTCTCGATTGGCATGACTGTTCATGCCAGCCCTCGGGAGCGGGCGCGTCCGCATGTAACTCTACTTAGGCGGGGGACCGTCGTACGTTTACGTCGTACGCTCTGGTTGGAGGAGGATCGGACGGCTCACGACTTGTTACGTACCATTGTACACTATGATGTATGATAGGATAGGATAGCCCGCTCGTCAGAGTCATTGTACTATACGCATGTATACCAATCGTATTCTATGGCCATTCCATCACCACTCGGGTTCTCGTTATTAGAGCATGACCCGTGAATAACTCGTGAGTGAATAGCACGGATCCAGGGGAGCACGCAGGGGGTACTAAGCGGCGGCGCGTGACGAGGGGGAGATAGGATAAACACTGACAGGCACGGCGCGTCTTGTACACTCACGCACGTCGAGCGAGGAGGCACGAGGGGTTCTGTCATAGCACGTACTCGAAGTTAGTGTGCTCCGAGGCTGATCGGGCAAAAGCGGGGTAAACGGTACAGGACGACTCGGAGCGGGGAGCGGGGAGACGTACTTACAAGGGGCGCGGCCTCTCACGTGTGGGCTAAGGAAAGCAACACGGCCTAGGTTCGCAGAGAAGGCGAAGACGAAGGCGCGGATTCGACGATGTACGTACGCATCGAACCCGGAGTCGGACGCGGCCCCTCTGTTCACCCCACGCGCCACTGCCAGAACACCCCTGCAGACGCGGTATAAACATACAGTATGAATAGGCGGAACTGCGAGACCTGCGCGACTCACCGAGGGGATCGTCCTCGTCGTGCCCCGCGCCCGTCCACATCCCCAGCGCGCCCGCCGCCGAGCCGACCCCGCCGAGCTGGACCGCCTCCGAGGCCCACTCGTCGGCTGTGCCGTCTTCGAAGCTCGACGTCTGCGCGGAGGTCCGATATCGGTCAGTTCTGTCGTCTCGTCTCGTCTCGCCGAGAGTAACGGGCAGGAGGGGCAGGAGAAGGAAGAGGGGAAGGGCGACGTACGAGAGACCACCGCACGCACCCGTCGGCGAGCATGCTGACGGAGCCGTGCACCCGGCGCACGTCCTCGTCTGCGGGCGGGACGTTTCCGCTTCCCTGCCAGCCCGCGCCGCCCATCGAGCCGGAGACGTGGATGGTCGGCCGGGCGGCGTGCTGCGGGAGGGGCGAGGGCGAGTAGCCGGTGATGCGGAGCGAGAGGGGGACGATGATCCAGGCCTCGGAGAGCGCGGGGTTGTCGAACCCGCCGAATGCCTGGAGGTGGATGGGGTTAGTGGTTAGCGGGAGCGCGGGGGAAGTGGGAGAGGTGCGGACGTTATGATCTGTGGGAGGCTCTATGTGAGTTTTTTGGATGCCGACGAAATGAGAAAGAGTCGCGTACAAAGTAGTTCTTCATAGCCTAACCAGCACACGAGACGTCTGCGCGCATACAAGCAGTATAAGCCTCGTTACCAGTGGTACCGAGTTGTAAGTTTACCTATGCACGCCCTCGACACCCGCCCAGTCGCGCTCGTTCTTCCCTCCGGCCGACTTGTCCTCGCCATGAGCACCCTCAACCGGGACGCTGTCCGAATCTTCACTAACAGGACCATCGTCCACTGGGCGGATCCACGTCCCTGCCCGTAGGTTGTCCCACAATTCCAGCTTCTGAATGTCCTCAGCGGTCTGGTGAGCGCGCAGCGTGCACTCCGCGACGATCCGCGCAGCCGCGAGCCACGACCAATCAGGGAGGAGCTTTTCCGGGGGAGGGGCGTTGAGCGTCGGCGAGACGTCCGCATTCGGAGGCTCCCAATCCGGATCGTCCGAGTCAGGGTCGGCGTCGCTGTCGTCCACGTACTCGGAGTCGGTATCGTCGAAGGGCGTCTCGCCCTCAGCGTACACGGGCAGGTACGGACCCCAGTGCCGACGCCTCGAGAGGTAGCTCAGGTCGAAGGCGTGTGGGCGTGCGTACCACAGGGCGCGCTGGCGCTGCGCCTGCTCGCTCATGTCGACCGCCATCATCGAGGCCTTGGCCGAGGAGCTGGAGTCTTTGGCGGCACCCCGGCGACTCTTCATAGGCGGCTGCAGAGGTGCTGAATGGGTGGACTCGACGATGGGGACGGGGAGGAAGCCTAGGTGACTGATTACCTGGCCGATGGCGAGCCCTTCCGGAGAGTTGTGCCATTCGGGGTCAACGTTGTCGAGCGAGAGCTTGTTTGTGAGCGTGAGCGGGAGACCATTCGCGAGGGTGTCTCTCAGCCAGGAAATGTTGCGTGAGGGCGGGTCCAACGGCACTTCCGGCGGCCATGTACTCGTCTGAGAGTGGAGCTCAACGAGGTCGGCGGGCTGGCGGCGGTCGTCAGCCCTGTAGACGAGGTTTTGCATGGCACGCACGTCGGTCGGTGCTGGAGCTGCAGTGTGTATCACTGACATCAGAGTGTCGAGGGCTCTGACGTGAGCATCGGCATCTCCAGCGGGACGGTCGACGAAGGACCAGGCCGTCGAGGGTCCGGAACGCAGTTCGCGCTTCTTCAGTACCGTCACCGGCTTTGCGCGGTTCTGTATGAAGAGCCGCGTCCAGCTGCGGTCTTGGAAGTCCTGGCGCCAGTCAAGGCCTGTAGACAAGTCACTATCAATGCGGCATCGACGCAGTAATTCGACGAGGCTCACTGTAACGCGGATTACTTGCGTTCCTTGGATCGTCATATGTTGTGAGGAGAAAGGACCGCCATAGGTGCTGATCTGTAGTGTCATAAACGATGTTGGACAGCCGTTTGGAAGTTGCAGCGAGTGCCGCTATGCTTCCGACATCGCCGTCAGCGGCACTAATGGTTAGAATGGCTTCGATGAGTTCGTCCGGTAGCGAAAGTAGAGAGATATGTCCTGCATGCATCGTGCTGTTATCCTGCCCTTTCGGCGCCGATGCTGATGGCGTTCACCGAAATGGTGCGACGTTACACGGGTGGGAAGGGAGAGGAATTCCACGACTTCCAGGATCGTGTACGTTTGCTCGTGTTTGGTTCGGTGACTTCACCACGCAAAAGCTTCCGACACGGGGAATCGAACCCCGGGCTATCGCGTGAGAGGCGATAATGTTAGCCACTACACCATATCGGAGGTCAGAAAGATAGCAGCAGCGGCGGCCTATAGTCAGGCTGTTGGACAAGTACAGTAGCTGCACCCTCAAGACATCGTCGGTTGAAGATTGACAGAAGCCAAAAGAGGGAACCATAACGCACAAGCTTTGCCACGGCTCGCCGAACCTCTCGGTCTCATCTACAGTATGGTGCAAGGGTTATATCACCTACAATATGCCACGTGACCATGGCCTGGTGGTCTAGTAGTATGATTCCTTCTTAGGGTGCTTTCGTCGAGAGACAAATCTGGAGGCGGTCCCGGGTTCAATTCCCGGCCAGGCCCTTTTTGCTCCCCTTCCTGCGAATGCACGCGGAATCCCCGCCGAACGCAGGAGCGGCTGATGTCCTCAAGAGCAGACGGATGTGACCGGGGTCATACTGAATCGCGAGCAATAGACTCGCATTGCACACTGTATGGTACATAGTGGTCGGCCCAACTACTGGTACAGGAACAGCTACAGAGGATACAGAGAGCCGAAGGGGAGGAAAGGTCGTCGCGTTTGTCGTAAAAGCACCGACATCGACTCGTTTGTCGGGACGGTGGTCTGCTGCGCAGCAGCAGGCTCGGTGCGTGGCAGTCATCCGTAGATCTTGAGCCACTGGATGTCGAAGTACGCGTTCGTGAACGCGGACGGGTTCTGGTTGACGTAAGCTGGAATGGAGGGTGGGGCGTGAGCGAATGCAAGACGAGATGTCACGCAGCGGTACTCACTCGCACAGTCGCCGGGGCAGCCATCGGCGTTGAAGACAGCACCCGCCCAGTCGCCGCCTGCAGGAAGAGCCAAGTCAGTCTCGGACTGATGCTGATAAAGGAAGAAGAGGGATGACGTACAGAGCGTGAGGTTAATAATGATGTTGTGCGGACCGAAGTGCGAGTTGAAGTCGCACGACTGGCTGGGGAAGTACGCGTACGGAGTGCCCTATGACGCACCGGTGTCAGCGGTGGGTCGCGAAGAGCGCAGCCTTGGCGATGTGAGCCTATTAGCCTACCCAGTTGTCTGTGTTGACGCTGGTCGCGCCGTTCTTAACGTCGCTGGGCACGGAAGCGTCGTTGCGGGACCAGAACCAGACCTTGATGAAGGAGCTCGTACGCTCCATTGCATACCTATCGGAATGGACATCGTCAATACCGTTCTCGTCGCGGCGTGAGTGGAGCCATTGCACTCACCAGCCTCCCCCGGCACTGTTGAAGGCTGGTCCGTAGCTGTTTGAGGTGGGCGCCTTCACGCCGCACCCCGCATTGTTCGTGGCTGCGACGTCACAGTTGTTCCCGGCAGATGTCCTATGCATATGTCAGCACTCCTAGATATCTGTGTTCTATACGCGAAGTGGGATGTACCCTGTCTGGGAACGGGATGCGGGCATCGAGCAGCCTGGCGTCATATGCGGTCAGGATGAATACAGTTCACGCAGAAGGCGAACTGTGGATCCTCACCAGAGTTCGTGTGGAGAGTGGATTGATTCGGGGTTTGGTCGTTGACGCCCTCGACGATGTCGACCTCACCTGTGGAGACGGGAGAAGTAGTCAGAATCACGAGCCCATCATCCCCAGCTTCGCGTGGGATTCGGAACCGACCTTGGTTGGGCCAGTTGGCACCGACCTCCCACACAGCGGGCCATGTACTGCAGAACCTTGTCAGAAAGGCTCTGACGAGGCAGAGGTGCTATTCGGGACTCACGCGCAACCCTGGGGCATGTGACGGATGTTCCACCTGGTCGCGGAGAGGCATGAGCGTCGGAACCTCGGGATCGTCATATCAGCGGCCGACTTACACAGCGACATGCGTCGTGTACTGCTTGTTGCTCTGCAGGCGCACAGAGTTGCGTCCGGGCCCGCTCGCGCTCAGCACCGTGGTGTGGTCGGCGCGGATGATGAAGTGGTCCCCGGAGGAGAAGGTAAGGTTCTGAGCGAGCGCGGTCGCTTGATCGACGTAGTTCCTAACGGATCAGATCGCAATCAGTCCGCGGAGCCAAAGCGCGCAGAGTAACAAGTACTTACACTCGGCCGTGCGTGGGGTCAGCGATGGCCTGGTGGGTGAACGCCTTGAGGAAGCCGCTGCCCTGGTGGCTGTCGGTCTGCTGGTATGTCGCGCCGAGGGCGGATGCGACGAAGCAGGCCAGGGACAGGAAGGTGCGTGAGGCGAACATGGTGCTGAAGCCCAGACGGGGAGAGAAGAGCCGATGCGAGCTGGAAAGCCTCGAGGAGGAAGGAGGGGTGCAGCTCACGGCAAGCAGGAGGTCCAGGTGCTGCAGACTTTATACTCGCCGCTCGCCCCCCAGGGATATGGAAAAGAGTGGCGCCGTGGGTGCATCACGTTGCGAGAAGCGTACGGAGCCGGCGATGGGCAGGTCGGGATTGCTACCGCAGGAAAGTGGCTGGCGGCGGAAGCATCGCATGGTGCCTCACACGAAGCAAGGCACATGTTCTAGCCAATTATCAGCGCCGAGGACCACCGGATGGGGTGCTGGTACACGGAAGATGGTTTGAACAGAAAACGAAATGGAAACGACTCCGCCGCACGGTGCAGGAGCTGAGGAGCGAGGACATTTGCGGAAAGCAATGATGGGGCGACCAGACGCGCTTTGCTCCCGCGTTTATCGATAACCCACCTCGAACAGCAGCCAATGTACTCGGAAGATGCAGAAAAGCATATGCTCGTCCCAGCTGCACGCCAACATGACCCCAGCAATTTTCCGTGGCCACATGAGAATGTCATCCAGCGAGAACGACACAAGCAAGGCAACATGTCATCTGAGGGCGTACGTGGAGCTGAGGCAGATGCCGCGCCGCCTGACAAGAAGGGTTAGACGTCCTGTGCGCCTCGTTTTCGCTCAGCTGCAGCGTAAGGTTGAGCGCTGTAGCGTTTTTGAGCGCCGTTGTCCTAGCGACGTCCGCAGGCAAGACGTACAGTATAGTGGAGTAGACCTGGAGCGCACGCCGATTCTCCGATCAGTGCATTCGGAGCTGTGGAGGCCGGCGCCACGCCAGGGACATCCGGTTACCTGAAAAATGCAGGAAAATCGCACTGCGGCGTCGTGGCTGGCGTCTCCGCGGAATATGCACCTGCTCCGCCCAAAATGGTAAGTGCGGAAGGTATGGCACGGAAGGACCGCCGTATGACATACGTACAAATCTCCGGCGTTCCTTGAGTGTCGACTTGCTTCTGTCGGAACGATTACAAGGTATCGGGGGAGACGCTACTCCGCCCATTCCACGCTGCTCCCGGAGTAGATCTTCAGACCGGAGCAGGTGAGACCGACGGCCATATGTTTTGGGTATGAGCGTGATCAAGACGACAGCTTCCTAGACTGATCAGCCGTACACGAGGAGAGAAACTTAACTTGGGCGTCGTCGCGTTTGGAACGCCTGTTATCTCGTGATACCGATATGAGTCGTTTTGGGCGCATGGGGTGGGTCGGCGCAGGCTTCAAAGAAGCTCTTTCGATGTAGCCCCGGTATGTTTCGATCCGAACACCGTTCCTACGCATATGTTCTCTGTGCTATAGACAGGGTCATGTACGGAGAGCTACGGGTACGGGCCGTCGCTCCCAAAGAGCATCGCGTGGTCTCTACGAGGCAGTATGTCAGATATATCCCACATCCATGTGAATCGTACAGAATCATTTGTCAGATAACTCACCACCCATCCATGATCTCCGGGCGATCTTCGAGCAGGGTCTGGAGACAAGACGATGACGGTCGGAGGCAGAACATGCGGGGTGAGAATCGGTGCTACGGTGACCGCGGCATATTCCGGCGAGAGGTGCGTGTCCGGATTTGGAAGCGCCCTTCCGTAACTTCTCCGCATCTGCGCAGCATTCATGCGCATGGCGGCTCCATGCGACCTCTGCCGCCGTGTGGATTGTCGGTTGTGAGAGGCTCTCTATAGCGCTCGAATGGCATTCCTGGAACTCAAGGTGAGGGCCTGCATCGGACATACCGTACGACCAGGTGCGGACGAGGTTCAGTAACAGGTTGCCAGGTGATCCGGAGGTAGACATCGGCAGAAGACTCACCTATACATAAGGGCCAAGTTTCTGCCTAGGTTGTATGACGGCAACTATGTGGATGCAGTTGGGGCGGAGGAAATAGCCATACGGCAGACGATGCGAAGAGCAGGGCCCTGAAGTGACCTCCGGACGACAGGAACAGTAGGCAACACGGGAATCCAAAGGAAGCCGGAGTCCGTATGCGCAGATGAACTCTACTTGCACGCAACCCATTCAAGGGCAGTGGAGAACATCCATCTGTTCAGCATGCAACTGCTCTGTATGACGGAGTGTCCGCGGAAGCGAAGGAATCAACAGTGCGGGGGAGCCTCGGTGACGTCTGCATACATCATTCGTCTCCTGGCTACGCGCGAATGAGGCTTCATTCACTTCAAAAGCTGGGTTTGACACTACTCACATGCTCAGGGAGCGATAGCGAGAGCGGAATGACTTGTGTTACGTGTATATGCGGACCACATACGGTCATGGCCACCCTCTTCGGCCCTCTCAGGTCCGGGCGCTACTGGTGCTGTACTGCTCACCATGGTGTCCAACCAGAAGTCGTTGATTTGTCTCGAACACTGAGATCATAGACATGGCGGTCGAGACATCCTGAGGGTTCGTGTTGGGAGAGAGAAAGAAAAGTAGTATGATACACAAGAGACAAATCCGCATCGTTCGCCAGGGCTCTCGACGTCCATCGTTCACACCCTCGGCCTCTGTCGTAGCGTACACTCGCAGTATTCCGAGATGAAGTGCTCAAGCCGCGCCAGCGGACTTGCGTCTGCCATGGTCGTCCTAGATCAGTTCTGGCGTCTCCCCTGCCGCGAGCGTAGCTGCGGACACTCACAGCTGGTAGGCCACGGCGATGAAGGGGATCGAGAAGAAGGTCGCGGCCGCGCCTGCGTACCTGACCGCGAACTTGCGGCGGTTGTCGTACGTGAACGGCATGTTCTGGAGGTCGGTGGAGCGCACATCCAGCGGAGATGAGACCCGTGTGCGAGCAGAGGCGGTCGGAGAGCGGGCGCGACTTACGTGGTGGGCGGTGTGCTCCTTGAGTGGGTGGAGTCCAAATCCACGGACCTGCTTGGGGCTGCGCCTGAGCGCGAGACGGAGGGAAGCCGGCGAAGTCCTAGCGAGCGGCGACATGTCGATAGAACTCAAAGAGCAGCGAGCGGATTCGGAGAGGGCACGAGCTGAGCGTCGAGGGGGTCTAGGAGGTGCTGGTAGGAGATCAAGTCGCTGCGTCGTCGTTATGTAGGCGGTGAGCACGCCCCACAACAATCGAACCAC